TTATGTGAGCTGGCGTACAGCAACAAGAACAGCAAAAAAATTTGGAACTCCGAACAAAGGTCTGCAACTATGTAAGTGCTTGCCTATGTACGTGTGTACCTCTAGCTTGTATGCAAAATTTCGAAGTTCTCAGCTTTGCCATTTTCATTTTCGCTCATCGACTGATTGAAGCGTTGCCAGAAAGCTCCATCCTTGCAGGTGTTTGTGTATTTGTGTTGGTTGGAACTGAAAGGCTTCACTAAAATGCAACTATCGAATTTCCTGTGTGCGGAAATGGTTTTTCTGTTTCTCAAATTTCGGTTTGGCATTTACTCTTATCAGCTCATAATCTTTCCGTCTGTGTGTATTTATTGTTTTTCGGGCATTCCCTTTGTATGTTGCATATACGCAGTCGGGCTACCTGTTTCAATATGTTTACGTATGAGTGTGTGAAGTGCTCAGCAGTTTGTTACAGTCGAACAGGTATTTCAAAGCGGCACCCCGTGGGCCTGTAACCTATAAAGTTTTATTGATATTTGTGTGTATTCTTACCCATTGTCCCAGATATCAATATATATAGTCAGTCAAATTCAATGAAAATGTTAAATCAAACCAAAGAACTCATGGAACTCGATATTATGTAAAGTCGGAAGTAAAGTTCGTTTCATTTCCATGTTTGAGAAATTGCATATAAACTTTAGGTATCAAGGTTGGTTCTAATTAATCAATTTGTTTTCAAGAAATACAATTTTACATAATAATTCTTCTATTCCAGATACCTTATCGACTGCTATACCTAACGCTTCTTGCGGTATTAATCTTAAATGTATCGTACTTAGTGTAATTGCAAAGGATTACATTACTAAGGCATATTTTGGTATACAAAAAATAAAAGCTTTCAAAATTGTCGATTTACTACTCCAGATATTGTCCTTTTAATGAAGAAATCAACCGTCATCGCCTGCTTCGTAGCAGGTTCACTGGTGAAGTCAATTACTTGAGCTATTCCTGGATTTCTCTGGAAAAGTCATCGTATACAGCATCCAATTGTTTTGTATTTCCACTGCATAATTTCACTTCCTAAATCAAGAATAATTTTTGTAAAATCCGTAGTCACGACTTCTTTCGCACCAGGTCAAAACATAACTACAAGTATCTACACCCTTGTATATGAATATAATTATATAACATTATTAGTAGTTTCACATATAATTGTTTTTTTTTTTGATAATAGAGCAGAAGTTAAAAGCGAGAAAAGAATACTATACTGTTATACTTTATGTAATGTAAATTAGTAACGTGAAAGAAGCAGACTTGAATCGATGAGCGATACAATAATCAGATTTTACAAATGCACGGATATGAAATTCTAAGCGCAAAAGATTTATGACAAAGCTTTGTGGACCATTGACTGTGAGCAGTAATAAGAAGAAAAGACGCTTGCTGTATAATTGTATCATAAATTCGACTTAGCAAGTATTTCGAAAAAGTATATGAGTTTGCACTTTTCAGGTCAGATGTTATCTACCGGTATTTGCGATAACGGGATATACGACAGACTTAAATATAATCACTGGATATTAGCTCATTAATATTGTTCAAAAGTTTAAGGAAATATTCTAAACTGGCTCAAAAATACAAAACACAACTTCTCTCTTTATGAATACCTCATAAAAGCATACTTAAGAGACAACAAGTACATACTTATCTGGATTATATATGAGTTTATTCATACCGCCGTTTTGGATAAGAGGGCGCGTTTGAATTTTTCCAAATTTAGCTCTCTAAAATAAAAAAAAAAAACATGAAACCCTTATTGAGATTATATGATTATTCTGTGTTAAAGCTGCAAAACTCTTTTTACACGCTTGCAACATATTGCTAAAGAGTATAATAAATATATTATATATATATATATATATATATATATGATACGGCTGAAAAGACGAGTTGAAATCCGTGTGAACTTATCCGTCTACCCGTCTGTCTGTCCGCGCAAGCGATAATTCGAGTACAAATTGGAAACTCACTATTGAAATATGGTACACGTGTTTCTTGGCAAAAATGTGAGTACGCAGATGGGGGTAATCGGACTATTCAAGCCCCCAGATACCGGAAATATGAACGCCAGAGCTTATGGCTGACTTCTTTCCGAAAATATCGGTCAATATCTGAGATATACAATTGAAATTCGGCGAAACGCTTTTTTTTTTTTGATAATAGTACATATACAATACTTTTGTGTCAAAAATGGATTGAATCAGGTCAATACTTCCCTTAACCCCCATATACCTAAAATAAAGATTTTCGAACTTCCAGTTGACTTTATGCTACATATATCCGCCAATGTGCCAGTTGTTTTAATGAAAGTGAGCAAGCGTGTTTTCTTGTATATATTTGTGCCTAAAATGGATAAGATCGGGCGGAAACTTGCCAAATATATGTTTATATTAAGATGTTTATAAAATTGCTTGAAAATATTGTAAGTTCTCAAGAATTCCTGGGCAATCTCAAAAACTAATGCAATTAGCCTTTCCATTTCTATGCCGTCAATGTTTTTAGTAAAAGTTCCGATGACGGGAAGTAAAATATTTTAATAAAATTAAAAATGACCTTCAAAATTTCTTATTGTAATCCATTAACCATTTCGTCGAACAGTGAAGTTGAACATTTTCGCTACATTTCTGAAGGTATTTCCCGGCTTTGATCCTTGTAAGTTACAAAAGTATGATATGTTGGGTTCCACCCGAACTTAGCCCTTCCGTACTTGTTAATTATGCACACGAAAAACTGGTGGACATAGTCGCAGAGGAAAATTAAAACAAACAAAACCAATACGTATGCATAAACCAGTCAGCTTTTGGTCATATATATTAAGGCGTCCGTTATTTCCCAAGCTTATTATCAGATCAGCGAACTGTATACATACGATCTAGCCCCTCAGTTTTTGAGATATCGATCTAAAATTAAGCACCTGATCTTTTCTCACCATAGCTGCCATACAAACTGAACAATCGGATTCAAGTGCTTGTATGCAAAACTTTTTCATTTGATGAGATATCTTCACGAAATTTAGAACGGATCATTATCATGGCAATAATGGAATGCTCGAAGAAATGGTTTAGATCGCATAACTATAGCATATAGCTATTATACAAACTGAACAATCGGAATCAAGTTCTTCCAAGTAGTCTTTTATATTTGCGAAGGGTATTACAGCTTCCATGCAATCGAAGTGAACGTGTTTTCTTGTTCTTTTATCTTGCAGACATCCCCTGAAGTTCAGTTTTTGCTCAAAACAGAATTATATTTAACCAAGTTCTCTATTTAAAGTTTAAACCGGGCCTAAATCATTTTGCGTTTCCGATGTTTTTAACATGAGTTCTGCTAATGATGGATCAAAGACCCATAAATACAGTCAAACGCTTTGAACTTATGAAAAACTTGGTTTACTGAACGTATGTTATCAAGACGAAAATGAAGAAACGAAATGATTCTGCCTCGTTTGCTTTCAGATGACTTTGACAATTGGCGTTCGACAAACTGAACCAGCCTAATTCTTCAAACAACCTTATAGTATTATATATAGATGTGTATTTGGGTATGTGAGTTTGTACGCTTTAAAGAGATAGGGAATAAAAAATATCGGAATTTGGCTTAAATATATCAAAAAGGAATGGAAAAAGTTTCATATTTATAAAAGCGCGATTTTTGAAAAATAAAGCAAAACGTACGCAGCCGGTTGAGGAAGCATTGTCAGGAGTTTGGGTATAGGGTAAAAAATCTACAAAGAGGAAAAAAACGTAAAATGGTTAATAAGCAACAACAAAGAGTAGCAAAAGTTAGTGCTGAAATGCGAGGTATACAAAAAATAGTAATAGCAACAACAGAAAACTCTTCAGCCATTTTAAATGGATTAAAATTTAGCTTTCGTTTAAAGCGCCTGTGTATATGTTACGTTTCTTGTGCGCGTTTTTTTGCTGTAGTACTAATGAGTCGTAGTGTATGCTGTGGGTGTGTGTTTATTTGTCGTCTAAGATTTGCCAGCGCTCTAATGTTTACGTATATATGTATGTAGCGTTCTTTTCCCCCAGCCTTAACACAGTTTCCCAAAAGTTGTTACAATTGCCATACTTTTGCGCACAATTCCTGGTTCCATATATTCCGAAACCAATCTCTTTATTCAGTGAAAATTTGTAAAGCGTTAAATTTGTTAGTGCTCGCTAAAGGAGAACTTCGTTCAGATCATTATTAGGTCATTTGATTTATATATACATATGTACATGTATTTAGTAGGCTTTAAACAGGATTTCTATATTTTAAAACCTTCCTAACTTATAATGGTACTTGTAAGAATAATGTTGTCAACGACAATAAACAACTAATTTATTATACCTCTACAGCCTTTAAAATGTGTACCGAATATCAATACTAGGACATCTGGACAAACAGATAATAATTTTCGACTATGCACTATGATCAATCGCAGAAAGTTTTATGACTCTACAACAATAATACTACAAGTATAAACATAATGCATCAGTGTTGTTGGAAGCAAATTATGTAGATCAGTCCAAACTTATTTAAAAAATCCTTGGTATGGAGTCTACTGATAACAATTACTGCTTCGTAGAATCTATTCCTGATCCGTTCTTCTCTGTTCACGTACCTTGGGGAAACAAGTGAGCGGGACGAAGTTGCTGGAAATAAAGCGCAGTGAGCTTTTTCACAGATGGAACAAAGTCCTGGGAAAATATTTAACTGTAGTATTCTGGCTGTAGCTCTCAAGCAACTCTTGCTTCAGCCTACGAGACAACTTCAGCTTCTTTCAAGCAGAGATGGTATCTCAGTACGCAGACAGTTGACGAAGAAAGCGTTTCAACAAATATGTGACATGATCAAAGTGCTTTGGCGATACGCAAGCTCTAATTAGCTAACAAACCTAACCTCCTACTAACATCCCACTAAATATATATTCAATGGCAATTTGTGACAATCGAATCTCACTTTATTTGGAAATGCTTGATTCATTTCATTTCTACACATTTCATTCGTACGTTTAAAGGAAAATACAAAGTGAACGCTTTTATGTCACTCAATAACATAATAAGAAAATTTTTGTGCAATTATTGTCTTTATTAAAAATTACAAATACGACGATAAATAACTTAATGGACATCTTGATGAAAATCTACGGCCTCAAAAGGCGGGAAATAAAGTGAGTTGTTGGCGAGTACATGAGGGACCTATAAGAGAAAGGCAAATATATTAATAAGGAATAGAGGGAGAAAATACATATTATATATATAGAAAGATATCTTAATGTAATGGAAGTCAAAATAATACGCAATGTTTTAAATTTGAGAACTGTCTGGTTTTTTCAGATTTTTCGAAGGCGTTGAAATTTCAACCTGTAAAATAAAAGTCTTGTTTCATTTCTAAACGGTGAATAAAGCGATGATATATGACTAGAGAGATATCAGCAGTAAGTCAATTGTGCGTTTTCAGAAAGGATAAAAAAAATTATCGGAGGTATGCAGGCATCAAAAGTACAGCGATTCAGAAAACCTTGACAGACATCAATCAGAACCGCAACAAACAAGAGGGGCCGGTCGGGTGAGAGAGCAAAGGTTCGAAAGTCAAAAAATATATCTTTGTGCGCGCTCATATATTTTTAAGGGTTACCGCTGAACACCCAAGACCTGTCAATAGCAGGTGCATTGCTTTTGCCA